TGCCCATTTTGGATTCCAGAGCTCTGAAACACAAACTTGAAGTCATGAGACTTGGTCAGGTGGTGCATAATAGCTCCCAAAAAATGAATATGAAATAATAAAAGCAAAAAATAAAGTTTGAAAATTTGTGAAAAATAGAAAGTAAAACTGATTTTTTTCAAAAGCTTTAATATTCATTTTGAGGGAGTGGGAGTGCTGAGAGAAAGAAAGAATGGAACGTGGGAAGAATGATTATAAATGAAAAAAATTGAAACCAAAAAAGGTTTAGCCAGGTTGGTGGTCCAGATTGGAGCCAAAACAGTAAATTCTAGTGCTTTGCTGCAATGTGGCCTGGTGAATGCGCCACTCAACAGCTGTTTGAAGCCATCTGAAAACCAGTTTTTCCAAAATTTTCATTTATAATCATTCTTCTCATTTACCTATCTTTCTTTCTCTCAGCACTCCCACTCCCCCAAAATAAATATCAAAGCTTTTGAAAAAAATCAATTTTGTTTTTTATTTTTCACAAATTTTGAAACTTTATTTTTTGCTTTTATTATTTCATATTCATTTTTTGGGACCTATTATGCACCACTTGACCAAGTCTCATGATTTCAAATTTCTGCTCTGGAGCTCTGGAATCCAAAATAGGCAGCCACTTTTCACTGTCTAGGCCCTGTACTGTATGTTTCACTCAAGAAGAGCCATGTGGATGAAACTTGTCTGTGCATAACCTTGAAATCCTATATGAGGGGGGCTCACAATTGAAATTGAGAGCCATTTCCAAGGTGTTCTCACCTCCAGCATTATGATGAGAACATGATTTTCCTCCATTTGGCATGGAAGGATTTTGCAGCCAAACCTCACACAACCAGGTCTTGAGGAAGATCAATTCCAATGTCAAATAAATGAGGATTGATTGTTCTGACTGAGTTTATGAAGGTCTGACATTGAAAGATAAGTCAAGTAGTTCATTGAAGACTTGCGCGTGATTCACAGGTTGAGTTGAGGTGAAATATTCTGAAATGGTGCTCCAGATTTTTTGAGTGTCTTTTTCATTTTCATGTTTGATGACATTTGGTTGGATTGAAGAATCAAGCTTTGGAGTGATGATGGGTCTCAACTCAACATCTTGGCTGCTGGTCAGAGTACTTTTTTCTGATGTGAGTGTGTCACAAAGATTTTGTAAATCAAGCATTTTATTGACTAAATTTCTCCAGAGAGTGTAGTTGTCTGCTGTAGTTGGAGGAATGGCCTCAAGGGCTGTCTTGAGGATGGTTGAATTGATTTTCTCCATTGAGTTGTCTGTGTTCTGGTTGGTTGATGAGCTTTTCAATTTGTTATCAGTTTCATTGGTTTGATTTGACATTAATTGTGTTGAGGGTTTTTGGAGGTGATTGTTTGAATTTGAATAAGAACAAACAAGAAGATTCTGAAGAAAAAATGGAAAAGCATACCACAACTAGTTTTTAATTTATGAGGCAGTAAAGCAGACAGAAAAATATATATGATATCAAACAGCAAAAAGTAGTAAGAGCTGATCAAACAGAACAGTTTTTTTGAAAAAGAAAGAAAAAGGTTGATGATCTTGATGGATGAGGATGAGAATCAGTCATATGCGGGTATGGGGAATTAGAAGGGTAGAAGTTTGACAGGAATAGATATCAAGATGTTTTTGGTGTTCAATGAGAGAGAACAGCAATGGGAGATATAGGATGATTGAGGGAATGAGCCAAAGGCAAAGAGGAAGGTGAAAGGTTGAAATTTTGAATGGAGTAGTTGTTGATGAGTGTGAGGGGGAAGGCCAAGCAGGAGGCAGGTTGTTGGATTTGATGTCGATAAGACAGATTTGAGTGAGGTGCTGGGAAGATGATTGGTTAGAGCTAATATTAGCAGGCTCAGCCCAACTTCCACATGGACTAGAAGGTCTCTCACCATCTGAGGTCCCTTGGGCTAAAGAGGAAGAGTAGCCAACCTGGACAAGATTTTTAGCAGGTCTCCTCCAAATTGATCAAGTGTCTCCTACACAACAGCCACAGGAAGAGTTACCTAAGGTATTTTTGAGGTCTTCTTTCTTCCTACAAAAACCCCTTGATACCTGTTTGACAGGCTAAAGATGTGTGATCCTGGTTGAGCATGCTCAAACCAGCCCAATAGAACCCACTCTTGTCAGCTGGCAAGCAAAACCCAGTTACCCCTGAACTAGTATATATATAATTAATGTTTTTCTACACCACACTTTTCATACATTTCACACTCATTTTACTCATCTTTGTATTTATTTAACTCATTTAATTATTACCATACTCTACATTATGCTTGTATCTAGTTGGCCTTACCAAGCTGGATATACAAAGCTGTACTGACTGAAGTCTATTGTTCCCCAGACTTTCAGAAGGGAACAAAAAATAAACATCTTTCATTCACATCATTCCTCTTTCTCTTGAAGATACATCAGCATATTACTACTTCAATCTAGTGTACTCTCTTCACATCAACACATCACTGTTCAGAAGTTGATATGCCTGACTCTCTCAAAACTCATCAACTGCTTGGGTGTAAACTCTTTGGATCAGATCAGAATCCCTGTACAATGTGGAGCCACTGGAAGTCTCCAGTAAACTTCCATCCAACAGATCACATCACCTTGGAGTAACCCATTGCTGACAACTCTGCTGGAGATGCTCTTATAAACATCTTGCTAATTGTTCTGGTGCATTCCCAAACTTTACTTTGTCAAAAGTGTTTAAGCAAGTAAGAAGTAGCCCAATCTCCAATGCAGGTCATAAAGACACCCTCTGTGA